TTAGGGAAGCGGGACGGGGTGGAGGGGAGGCAGGAGCAGGGAATGTTTATTTTTTGTACTTGTACAGTTTGGTTCTATCCAAAGAAGGCAGGTTAAAATCATTTTGTCAAAATCTGTACTAAAGTTCTTTCCCAGGAAGCATGAAGCTACAACCAAGTATCAAATTGCATTAGCATTGAATTATTTCTGGTACTGCCTCTGCCAAACTAGAGCATACAATCAATAGTTTGCTACTGAAGTTCGAGCAATTCTATAACTGAAGTGTTTAAATGCTAGATTAGGCTTCAGCTGGTTAGGCTTCACAGTGTTTTGTTGTTTCCCCCCCTGTGAATGATAATAAATATGCACAAAATAGCACTGTCTTTTCAATCACATGAACACTTAGGGTAAAAATGCTTCTCGTTATTACAAGAATGGGAAGATTGCAAACTGTGGTCAAACTGCTTGCTTAATCTACAACCTCTGTGATAGCTTGGAGGCAAAAACGATTTCCAAATATGCAAAAAAGTCACACCTTGCTATGTAAGCTAACATGGTCTAAAATTCCACTGAACACTCAAAGAACCATGTAGAAATTCTGCTCTGTAGCCTGTTTACCAGAGGCTACCTAATAGCACTACAAAACAATCAGCCAAAACCCCTGTAACTTCCATCTTCGGAGAATCTTGGCTTTGTTGGCCCATTTACTTTCACCAAATTCCTACCCATGTTTCAGCAATGGTGCAGCAACAGTGCAATGCACTACTACCAGAAAAGGTTTTCATAGCATGGCATTAAACACACCAGAGCCCTGTCTAGACTAGTGATTTGCACTGGTGTTAGCAGAAGTGCAACCGCACCACTGTTGCAATCTGGGTACATATTTTTCTAATGGCAGGTTTCAGAGTGGCTATCTTAAAACAGAAAAACTTCAAAAACAGACTCCAACGAGAGACTGCTGAGCTGGAATTGATATGCAAACTAGACACAATCAACTCAGGGCTAAACAGGGATTGGGAATGGCTGAGCCATTACAAACATTGAATCTATCTCCCCTTGTAAGTATTCTCACACTTGCTTCTTATCAAAGTGTCTGTACTTGGCTAACTTGATTATCACTTCAAAAGTTTTTTTCTCTTACTTAATTGGCCTCTCAGAGTTGGTAAGACAACTCCCACCTGTTCATGCTCTCTGTATGTGTGTATATATATCTCCTCGATATGTTTCACTCAATATGCATCCGAAGAAGTGGGTTGTAGCCCACGAAAGCTTATGCTCTAATAAATTTGTTAGTCTCTAAGGTGCCACAAGTACTCCTGTTATTTTTCTAATGTAGACCAAGACCTAAAAGTGGATTGGTGTATACCAGATTGCAGCAATGGTGCAGTTGCACCTCTGCTAACACCAGTGCAAATCACATCCTCTCTCTCTCTTAAAAAAACCTTTCTGTGAAAATACCATTACACCAGTCATGAAGAATGGGGGAAATTAGATTTATTTCAGAGTGTTGCATTTTTTGTAAGTTAAAATGCAAGGCACTGATGTCTACAATAATGTTAATGACAAGGGAATGGGTTCTTTTTCTTTTTTCTTTTTTTCTTTTTTTTTCTTTTAGGAGGGGTGAGCAAAGAGCTTTATTTTAAAAATATGACCAATTCAATACTATTTTCTTCCCCCACCCCCACACAAAAAAATGCGAGGGCATATTTGCAAGACTAAGAGAACTGGCTGTTTAACCAATCATGAGAGATTATATTATGCAAGAGTTGTGCCCCATTGCCAGGGCCGGCTCTAGGCACCAGTGTCCCAAGCATGTGTTTAAGGCGGCACTTTTCAAGGGGTGGCACTCTGGCCTTTTTTTTTTATTATTTTTTCTTTTGCTTGGGGCGGCAAAAAACCTGGAGCCGGCCCTGCCCATTGCCATTCAATCCTGTCTTGTATTACAGCAGATTGGAGCCTTCTTGTGCCAGACAATGTACAAAAACGCTGTAGGAAACAGTCCTGATTTACAGGTGAGAAACAGGAGAAGAGAGAGATTAAATCCACACACAGCAACTCCACAGCCAAGCCAAGAATCAATCTCTGATTCCCCAGTACAAGTCCAGGGCCCAAATCACAATGCCATCCTTTCCTCTCTTCTCCCCTGCTCATCTAATTTCAGTCCTGGGTTTCTCCCAGGCCAAGACAGTTCCAGGTCTCTTTCTTTGTCATGGGTGGGTAATGGACATTTTACATTCTGGAGCACTAGCACTACTTGTGCCTCACAAGAAGAGGACTATTGTTGTGGGGGATACCCAAGTAGTCAGAGAGTATCTATGATGGCCAAATTTCTAACACATATGCTCTGGGAGGCGCAAAAAAAAAAAAAAAAAAAAGCCATGGAACCTTTAATGATTACAAGGGGTCAACAGATGGCACCAGCAAGCACCAAACTGAGCCCTGACACTATTTGGAGGAGTGGGAGGGGGCATAAGTTTAATACTGCCTCAGAGGAAATATGCTAAATCATCATCACTTTAGGTAGCATTTGGGAGGAGAGTGGGGGCAGAGAAAGGGAAGGGTGTTTCCCATCCTACTATAGGATAGGCAAGAACTTGCTTAGCTCATGAGATATTCAGAGCGTGTAATCTTACATAAACAGAACTATTAAACAAAATACTGAAAATTATTTCTTTCAACTAGCTAAAGAATTATATTTATTTGCATTACATGCCCAATCTTTTTTTGTTAACTTTTCCTTCCTCCTTCATCATATTATAGCTATGACTTTATGACATTTTACTTCACAATTTGCGTGATGCGATTTTTTTTTCTTTTTTTAAAAACCTTTCTATTTTCTTTAAGCCTCCCAGGCCACTACGGGAGGAGATTTGTATTCTCTCACTTACATTTTTTGTTTTTAATATAAAAAACTTCAGACTTTGGCAATACCATGAGTATGAGTACTGAAAGCATTCTGAAAAGATTTTTTTTTTAAATCCATTTATAAAGGTACACTCAAGACAAAACTAATTAAAATATTTTAACCTATATTACTAACACCATCTTACATTGTAAAAAACAAGTATTTTAAATAAATTTACTTTTCAAATAAGAAAAGTCTCTTTAGGCAGCTTGTTTACTTTCTGCTTTGCACTCAGCTGAAAAATTAAACTAGATTTGCCATTTTCGCTTGCTGATTAGCATACACAAGTACAATGCTGCTACGTTTTGATTCACAGTTCTGTCAAGGAATATTTAAAAGTGCTTCAAAAATGTAAAAACATAGAGAAAATCAGGATTAATTTCTATTTGTCATAAAGTTTGAGATTAAAAGAGAACAAGTATGAGAGAGAGAGAGAGAAAGAGAAAACATCTCTCGGACATTGAATTTCTATCTACTTATCCAAATATTTAAGGGGCTCACACCATACAGTCTGAGGATCTCAGCTCCCTGATAGCATCCCTTTAAAGTGAAGCTGTTTGCACAGCCATAACTTATCACCAATTCACCTGAAGCCTGGCAAGTGACCAGCTTTAGACTAGTCTTTGGCTAATGAGAAAAATAAAACCTATTAAACTGATTTCATGCTCAGGTTAAAAATGTGACTAAAGAATCTGCAAGTTGAACATTACTGAAAGTTGCAGCAGCACTGATATATAAAGTGAGTGCAGGCCTGAGGAAGGCAACAGGAGTACTCTCTGTGCAGCTTTAGTGAGCATGCAGTTGAAATGTGGAGTTCAGGCTCAATACATGAGAGACAGCAATGTTGTGGAAAGAGTTCAGAGAAAATCAACAAAAGTTATTAGGAGCTATAGGCTTGACTTAGAAGGAAAGTTTACAAGAACTAAAAATGTGTCGTTTGTCTAAGCCACACAAGGGGATGGTGAAAGGTTCAGGGAATAAATGCAATGAAACCTGTTTCAGGCGATCATCCAAGGAACACAATCTAAAACCAAAGGAACAGAACACCAAACAAGTGACTAAAGGATGGAGAAGAATTATTTAGAGTAGTTCCAGGGAGACAGTTTAAACCATGAGTTCTGGGATGAAATTAAGAAAAGAACAGTTATTGGCTGAATATCCAGAAAAACCTCCTGACAGTTAGATATAATAGGCTGTGAAATGGTCTTGCAAGAAAAGACATGCAGACTTGAAAACACACTAGACAATAGGTTAGAGGAAGCAATTCTTCTCTGGCTTAATGGGGACTAATAGGTCTTTTCCATTTTGGGTATCTAAGATTTGTATTCTAGTTATGTCAGTATTTCACAGAAGTAACTATTAAAAAACAACTGAAAGTTATGACTGAAAGTTAATTAATTTGCACACGTGTAGAAAATTCTTTGTAGATTGTTAACTTTTTAAATTTTGGCAATTTCCAAATTGAATGAACCTGCATACTTGTATTAAAAGTATACATTATTAATTTATTTGGACAGGTGTTTTATTTATCATTCTGCAACAGTATATGTTGTGTATTTTGTAAGTGAAGTCTCAGTAAAGTCAAACTACAGCAATCTGCTCTTATATTTCTTTGCTGAGAAGGAAAAATATCCTTGGATTTTTTGAGAGAATTTGTGAGGGTCTAATGTGAATACATTTTAAAACAAATAACTAATGATGGAAGGCTGTGGAAAAGTCAAATTAATACCACCTTTTTTAAAAATAGAGAACATAACCACAATAGGACATTCTAGTCCAAGATACATGTTGTGATACATGGTGTGTCATGACGGCACACCCAGCATTCACTCTGCTTTACTTGGCATCTAACGCACCCAAAGTACCCCGAATACCTTTTCAACAAATTAGGTCTTTCTACTTTATCACTTCATGTTGCTAATCAAAGGTATCTCACAAAACAAGTGCTTTCTAAAGGTGAAGTTCTTGAGATAATTATTTTCTACCATATATAAATCAAGTAACCCGCCAATAGCCAGTGCATGTTATAGAGCTCCTCCTTTATGTTAATAATTTGAATATATTTTGAAGATCAAGGACTAAATAGCACAAAATTAGTGAAGATAACTTTATTTACCTTTGTCTTTTCACCAATAACATTTCTCTCCAGCTCAGCTATTTTCCTGTTCAGATGGTCCAATATTTCCTTCTCTTTCAGAAGTTCAGTTGTTTCAGATTTCTGTTCCCCATCCAAAAGAGCACATTCCATATCCAGCTAGGGAACACAAAACATTTCTCAAAAGCAGTCCAGCTTACAAAGAACTCTTCGTACACTTTTTGTTGTTGTTACATTTTAAAAAGCAGTGTTGATGCCACCAAGCTTCTACATGTTTACAAAGAGATCAAAAATATGTAAAAAGGAAAACCTCACCATAAAATATTGTAACATAAACCAACAAACCAACTTTTAAATATTATTTTTCAGCACTTATTTTTTAAATTCTCCTCTTCTTTGCTTCCTTCTGTCTGATACTGTACCTACTACTCGTGCCAGCCTCTGCACTAACCACTTTTGGAACAGCTGCTTCTTTCCTGTTGTTACTAATTAGAGACAGGACAACTTAAGGCCCATACAGCTTGGTTTGCAAGTGTGAGATTCCAGAAACCAACAGTGCTTCATAGTCTTGCCAGCACAAGGGTGAGGAGATTTAAAAAGAAATTATCTCACATCCTTACCCTTTAAATGGCTACATGAGATACAATACTCCCAAGTAAGACAAGATACTCAGATGAATCCATCAACCATTCAATAATCAGGACTATTCTAATTACATTTAGGGGCATAGTAGTTAGAACTAGAAAAGGCCAAATAGATCCTGTTATCTACCCTCCTGCAAGGGAAGAAAATAGTCCCCGTAGTACGGAAATATCAGTTAATATGATACTGCACTTAATTTTGGACAAAAGGCAGAGGATTTGAAAGCTATGTGGATGCATGAGACTCCTGTGTATTTTTTATACACACACACACACACACACACACATTCATTATATATATAATGTATATATATAAAAAAACCTAGATACGTGCATATATACAATTTTAGCTATTTAATGAGCATGACATTTAAAATCAACATGTGAAAAGAAACAGGAGACCTCATTTCTTGATACCTCTCTTGAAGATTCATCCATCTGGTCATTTAACTCTTTGATCTTCTGTTCAAGTTCCTCTAAGTTGTTTAGTATTGTTATGTGTTCTTCCTCCAGCCGACCAAGCTCCTGCCCTCTTTGCTCATCACTTGTGCATTCTGGTGTCTGCAATTAGTCATTAGGCAGTGTTTATTAATAAAATTCCAAAGCAGTACATTTTCTCCTTCCTCTCACTCTGTGTTCAACTACTTTACACAATTGTTGCATTGCAAGAGTTCTGCTTTTATGCCTGCTAATTGACATTTCACTAGGAAGCATTGGTTACTGAACTTCATACTATATGAAGTCTTTTCTCATTAACTCTTCTTGTTAGCTATATTCTTCAGACACTTCATACATTGTGTTATTTTGGTTGTAATAAGCCAGCGTTCTCAAGTAAAACAGATACAGAAAGATAAATTTCTCCTTTTAGAGTATACTTCAGTTCTATATACACCTCTACCTTGATATAACGCTGTCCTCGGGAGCCAAAAAATCTTACCGCGTTATAGGTGAAACCGCGTTATATCGAACTTGCTTTGCCCCCCCCCCGCGGAGCACTGCTTTACTGTGTTATATCAGAATTCGTGTTATATCGGGTCACGTTATATCAGGGTAGAGGTGTATAACAAAAACCGGGATGTTACAGCATTTCATAAGCAAGTGTCAAAATGAGTGGCTTTTGTAAGATGGGTGCACAATTAGCATGGCAAACCATCTTTAAAATCCCTCTCTCCTGCCTCAATTATTTATTGGACAATTATGACAGATATAAAAAGCAGCATTAAAGATATTTTTGGAGTTTATTTTACCCAGAAAGCCTTGTTCTGAAACAGCAGCTAGTTTTCAAAGTGCTCCTGCAAATTATCCTGTTTTCTAAAGGCTGAAGCAATAGGGTCAAATTACTTTTTAAGATCACTCATTCATTGTCTCCAGACAGAATTAGAATCAGATTCTGGCTCTCAGTCCCTTGCTTTAACTGCTAGACCATATGGCCCTCTTCAAAACCCAGTGAAGCTCAACTACCTAATTACTATTCTGAGGGCAGACATTTTAACAAGATATCATGTGCAAATCTGACCTTGATATTTGAGAACAATGAACTGCATTTCATTAACACTCAGGTGCCTGTTACAGCTCTTCTCTTCCTTTAGCAGAACACACTTTACCATGAATGAATGGTATTCCTTACTTACTAGTGCTAGTAATCCTATCAGGAAAGCCTCTTTTTGTCTGGTATCCTGTTTGGCTAATGCTGACATAACATCTTCAATTTCAACTTCCCAATAGAGATTAAAAATAGGATCTTTCATTTATGGAAAGTAAGTCATGAGCATGGAAGGGTTTCAAGAGCATAATAACTTGCACATGAAGTGTTTTAATGTAAATTTCAGATAAAGAAAGGAGAGAATCAATATATGAAGATGTAGTTACAGGGAACTGGTTTCTACTTAAAATACCCTTATTTCTAAAGATTCGGCAGAAAGAGTTCTAGAGGAGCATCCCTCTTTTTTTCCTTTAAAGTAAATGATATCCCCTTTTACCTATACATGAACAAAAACAAGTCAAACAGAAGATACCCTGTAAACTTATATTTAAATGCAATGAAGCTAATGTAGTCCTTACTACAAAGGGGTAAGGAGAGAAACAGAAAATATATGAAAGCTACCATCAAATACGGGAGCCACCATCAAGCAGACAATGTAAAAAATCCCCTACTATGAGGTGATGATTAAGATGACTAAACTGAAGAGCTGTACCTTGACATCTCCTTTATTTTGAGAGTCCTTAAAGAGTTAGCATGGAAATGGATTAGCTGCTGAAATAACAAAATGATGATCTAGTTATATTGTAACTGATTGGATATTCCTGTTGCAACCTGATGTAATCTATCTCAGCGTGTCTCCAACTGGGGTCTGCAGACCCATGGGGGTCTGTAAGGGTACTCCAGAGGGTCCGCAAGTCATGTCCGAGCCCACCGGCCCCGCTGATCAACTCCTCCCCCTCCTTCTCAGTGCCTCCTGCACACTGCACAACAGCTGTTCGGCGGCATGCAGGAGGCACTGAGAGGGAGGGGGAGGAGTGGGGAGGGGGACGCTTGGGAGAGGGGGTGAAAAGAGGTGGGGGAGAGGAGGGGCAGGGGTGCAGCGGGGGTGGGAAGAGGTGGGGCGGGGGTGGTGAAGGGTTGTAGCCACGGGTGGGAGTGGGTGGGCCGTGGCCAACCCACTTAGCATCCAGGCCCACCTCCCCAGCCCCAGTTCTGCTCTGGCCCCAGCACTTGCCCCGCTCCGCCCACCTGCCCGGCGTTCCTGCCGGGGAGCGGAGTTGGGGAGTGGAGGATTGTCTTGCTCCACCCGCCCGGTGCTCCTGCCAGGCAGCAGGGTCGGGACGCGGGGGCTTGCCCTGCTCTGCCTATCCAGCGCTCCAGCCGTGGAGCGGGGTCAGGGTGTGGGGGATTGCCCCGTTCCACCTGCCTGCCCACCTGGTGCTCCTGCTAGGGCCAGGCGGGTGGAGCGGGATAAGCCCCCACACCTTGGCTGGAGTGCCAGGCAGGTGGGAAGAGTGGGGCAAGCCTCTGCGTCCCGACCCCATGCCCCGGCTGGAGCGCCAGGTGGGCAAGCGGAGCAGGGCAAGCCTCTGTGTCCCAACCGTCCTAAAAAATATGAAGCCAACAGAAACATTTCCATTACAGTGGACATTTTAGGGAGGAAGGAATGAGAGACGATTCCAGTTCTTTCCTCTTCTTCTGGCCACAGGCCTGATTGCTTGAACTATGACAACAAAGTTGGTTGGGAATTTTTCCACTAAACATTTTTTGATCAGAAAATTCTCATTAATCAAAACCAAAATGTTTCATGGAAATATTTCGATTTCAACGAACTTTTGTTGACAGTCAGGTATCTGACAGAACCAGGGCTCTCAGGGCTTCCAGGCTGCCTGTTCCATGGCAGAAATTCCTACAACTCTAAAGTCCGGAGGGGAGTCCCCTGGCGTCTGGAGTTGAAGAAGGATGGAGCTTGTGATTTCATTTAAAAATAAAACAAACAGAAAAACTTTGATTTTTCTGAACAAAAAATTTTAATTTCCCTTCTGCGGGAAATTTCTATTTTTTCAAAATGGCGGAATTTCCCATGGAATGAAAATTCTGAATTTCGACCGGCTCTACATGAAAATAATTCTAAATTAAATTTGCTCATTCCATGCAAACTGGTTACAGGGCCATTGAAAGTTACAACATATATTCAGTGCAATGGAACTTACAAGTAAAACTAACTACAATACAAAAATGTAGAAGATTAGCCTATCACTATTCCATCTGAAGGAAAGCTGCCAAAAGGTAAACAGACATAATGAATAGCAAAATATTAATTTGATTTTTGAAGTGTTAGCTATTAGTAACATCACTAAGGAAATTATTTTATTTTATTAAAAGGAGCACCCTTTTAACTTACAAGACTGCACTGTGAAATGAATGGGAAATATTCTGAAGCAGTTTCTTAAAAAGCAGTAGATGTTTTTTGGAAAATATCCTTGGACAGATTTTGTGGTATGTGAATAGGTCAACTGTCACAGTATACTTCACAAGAGGCAGCATATTGATTGGAACAATGGCTTTGTTCAGAATAAGAAAAAGGGATGGGGAAGTAAATTCAGCTAGGTGATTCTTTTCTGCACCCTTTAAAACTATTCTGGTTCGCTGTCAGAAAAAATCTGGTGATCTGAGAGCAGGCAGAAATCTCAGTCAAGGGGAAGAGAAAAGTTACGTGATTTCCTCCTCTTTTGGCAACAGGCCTGAATACTTAAAACTTAAAAAAATGTCATGCTCCACATGACAACAATTATAGATTAATTTTGCTCATGAAACTCGAGCTGTCTACAGGACGATTGAAACGCTACTATTTAAATCATTTAATACTGTTATTTACCAAGCTCTCTCTTCCTAAACTGTTTATCATTTGGGAAAAGTACTTAAAATAAACAGTTTTCATAGCAAACGAAATCACCAACATTTCAATTCATACTGGACCAAAACAGTTGTACTGTGTGACTAAAACTTATCTTTAAGCCTTTTTCTTTGTGATTTCCACCATGAAAACTGAATTCAACTGGAAGACTTCAACCAAGGGTTCCCAATATGTGATGTTCACTTCTCAAGAATCTTACCTTTGGTATGATACTTAGGTACGAAGACTCATTGGAACCCTTCAAGAAGGCAGAAGAAGCTAAAAGTGGAGTCTTCATATTGTCACTGAAGTGTTCATCAGCTCTAATCCCTCTAGAGGAAAGGAAAGTGGCAGCACTTCGATTGAGATTACTACACTCTGAGAAATCAGAATCACTTGCTGATGATTTCAAGTGGTTTCTAAATCTTGCTTCTGGATTCATTTGAGAATCTTCAAATACAGAATCTTCATCTGACAGCTGAAGTTTTTCAAGTTCTTTATTAATTTTTTGAACATCAGCAACAGTGGTAGCAGCAGCAGGATCGTTATCAGACTTGGAATATTCAGCACATAAATTGAGGATGGTCTCCAGCCGCTGTCGCTCCTAGTAATTGAAACAAACAGTGCTAAACTTAACATACAAATTTCAAGCAAAGAAAATGTCAAAGCTACACAGAGGTTCACTATTTTTTAATGTAATTTTTTAAATTCATTAAACTTCCTTATGTGCCTTTACCAATCTAGGGATAAAGTATTATATATGTTTACACATATACATAAAATGATGGTGTGGCAGAGGAAACAAAAGTTAATGAGGCAAGAAATCCTAAAAATGGGAAATAATTTCTGTAGAAAAGAGTTTAATGTAAAATCAGTGTAATCGTTTAATACTGTTATATATATATATATATATATCATATAAAAAGGGATTTAAAAAGCAACTGAGTCAAAAGTGAGTTGTAAGATAGAGAACATAGAAGCTGTTCTCCATTAAAGATGATCCCACATTCGAGTTTCAAATTTCCCTTTTCACCACAGAAAAAGATTATAATTATTATTTATTTCCAACAGCACCCAAACGTGAACGGTCCTGCCCAATAGAGCTTACTATCAAAAAGATGTGTCAATCTACTTTGTGCTTTTGGCTGTGCTCCTGGCAGAGATTAAACCATTACACTCATTTTACATAGAACCAATTTACACAGAAATCATTCCCTTTTTTTAGGATTTCCTGTTTCATTAACTTTCATTTCCCCCTTCTTCTCCACATTCCCCCACCAATTTTGTAAGTTGCTTTACATCTGGAGACATCCACCTTTGATCCTTAGGAGGTTAAGAAGGAAAATAATATGTCATGACCAAAGGTTGACCAAAATGGAACAGAACCTAAAACAGGGGGTTATTGCTTTGCCAGCAAACTGTTAAGTTATAAAAGCTCATGAAGGAGTCACACCATTTTCTTAACACTGAGAATATGAACAACTATGACAGACTTCAAGCTGTCATGGCTCAAGCTATTGTAGAAACACTTAATTCCTCAGAAGTTTTGAACAGCTCTGCAGTATTTTTAAAATTTATTAGAAAGCAAAACCAGATTTGTAATGCTATACATAATTTCTTTTAATATCAAATTCAGAACAAAATTATTAGTTTTTTAAAAAATATACTATAACTTAAGTTCATGTTCCTTTTGTTAAAAAAAAAAAGAGAAAACAAATTTTAATTGGAAAACTGCTTACGATAAGCCTACTTAAAGATATTAAGACCTCATTAAGACAGCTTCATGTTTTGCATTAATACCAACACTAATGAATAAGGTTTTTGTAAATTTTTCATCTTATCGCTAGGAAACACTTCTAGACTATCACTCAGAACATTTAAAAACAATAACAACAGCAACAACATCTCTTCTGAATCTCCCTCCTGCCAGAACCACTACAGGCTTATTCAGTTTCCAAATTCTACCTGGCAGTAAATCCAAAATCAGATTTTGCAAGATAGCTAACTTCTTGTAATCCTATCTCACTTGAGTCAGCAGCAATTAGAAACAAGAACCAAGTAGAAGAGTTAGAGCAAGACACTCTTTCCGGTTTCCCTGAAGCAAACCATGAGTGTAATAAATCTTAACACAAATTAACCAGTACTTAGCTTTTAGTAGGATTCAATGAAGGATTACAAAGTTACATGGATGAGAGCATCCACAGTTAATGTTAAAGAGAACAGATGTATGTATTTTTTAAAACAGATCTAAACCTTCCTGTTTCAGGGCATAAGCAACAGGCATTAGACAGAAATTTCCCCTTTGGGTAGCTTATTCCAAGTTGTTCACTATGGAGTTTCTTGCACAATCCTCTGAAGCCTCTGCTACTAGGGCCATTGTCAGAGACAAGCTGTTGGACTATATGGTCCGCTAGCCTGAGCTGATACAGTAATTTTTATACATTCTTCCATAAAGCAGGTGGCAGATTCAGTAGACAGATGTCAACTTCAAACCTATGACACACACCCCCCCCGCCCCCAGTCTCCAAAAGCCCTCCATGCAACTATACCCAAGCTTCTAAGCCTCTCCTTATTCCCCTAACAGGTTCATCCTCCTTTCCTCCTAGCTGCTACCTTTAGGGAAGGCAATCCAATCCCTAAAACACTGCGCAACGGCTGGCCAGGAACTCCAGCATTTATGTATCTCTTGCTGTTGCCACTGGGTAAGGCCTGGCCCTTTGATACTATTGTCATAAGAGACAGAAATGAGACAGACAATATTAAAACATACAGTCCTATCCCGCCCTGCAATGACAGGATATATTTCTTGTCTCCCACCTCGTCAATATAGGAAATACCTGATTTTAAACCATAACTACATTTTATCTTCATTAAAAGGCTTATGGGAGCAATGATAAACTACCACTTTGTCAGCTGATGGGAGGGTGGGTTATTTTGGGTATCTTTACAAGTCTTGGCAATGCAGAAAGCTCTCTCTAACACTTGGGAGAAAAAACACAAATTAGGGCAAAAATCTCGCTCACTTTTCAGAAAGTTTCTGATGAACTTCTATATTTGAGGACACGTTATAGAAATGCCTATGTCCAGTACCAAAAATAGTGTCTTTTGCTGTCCTCACTGCTGCACAACTAAGAGGGGAATAAGTTATCTCACTTCTATTTCAAAATGTGCAGCAGTGTATTAAGAGGCTTACACACAGGAAGTTCTGTCTGATGCTATTTCATGTATTCTATTTTTATCACTTTGTTTGCAGCCAACATCTTCTAGTTCCAACACACCTGCATTCACCAGTTCAAGCCATAAATTTTTAAATCAACTGGCAAGCCAAGAAAATGTCCCAGCAACTGAAGAGATAAAGAAGGTGGTATGTGGATAAAAATGTATTAAACTAAATTATGCAAGGAATGTATCATACTAGCTTTCAGGTTACACACTACAGAAAATATAAAATATGCCAGATTGGGTTGTGCTGTTTTACATTCAGTGCATGAGGCTTTGAATCAAGACTTTTAAGCCTTTTTTCAGCACATTTTCCCTTTTATGTACACCATTTGCCTGTGTTTTTAACCCACCATGCCTAGAGCGCTGCGCGGATACAAAATGTATATCAGCAGATGTGGATATTCGCGGATAAAAAGCAGATATCTGCAGAGTTACAGGGGTCTAGCCACAATGAGTGAGACCAGCAGGGCCACGGCCAGTGACTGGGCCAGGAACCATAGTGGCAAAGGCAGCAGCATGTTGGGCCGCCGCTCGCAGGAGCCAGCGAGCGGCTGTGCTGCTTTCACTGCTGCGGTTCCTGGCCCGGTCGCTGACCGTGGCCCTGCTGGTCTTGCTCGTTGTCGCTAGAGCCCTACAACTCCACAGATACTCGTTTTGTATCCAGAGATATAAATTTTGTATCTGCGCAGGGTTCTAACCATGCCATCTGCTGTGAAAAGTGATGTGTACAACTCTAGTGCCTATATTACACTAACACACACACCATTGTTAGCACTGATGAAGATAAACTGGATAGTGGGAAGGCATGGCAACCACTTCAACTACTCCTCTTTTCTGTGAATCTCATTTACATGCCAGGTGTATGAATTATGTAAATGCAAAATGGTGATGTCAGATCAAGATATCAGGGCAGGGCTTGAAAAATCCACTTGACGAGTCATCTGTAGCAATTAGGAAGCTTTTCAGGGAAAGTGCCATTAGCAGAATCTAAGATTCCATTAATAAAATATATAAAAATAGAGTCTATACCCCTAATTATTGTCAAGTTAACATGAACCAGATATAATCAATGGAACAGTGCCTACTGCTGTTAGCAGGCAAGATTGCTCCAATGCCTCTGATATGGCTCAGAGCTTTGCCAAGCAGCAGCAGAAGACCGAAAACTGACCAGAGTTTCCACCACTACTCTTCAGAATCTTGTGAGTAGCAAACAAACTAACAAGAAGCTTATCGAGCTTCATGGTGCATCGAGCAGCAACAGTATGTGCACTGGAGCTATTCAAAGGGGAGAAAGACTCAAAAAGAGAGACTGAGATGGGGTAGAGTAGTAGAGAGACACCCCCTCCTCCCAATCACAGGTCCAGGAGCTTATGGGAAACAGAAGACAGAAAGAGCAAAGGCTTCTTTAATAGAATTCTAGAAATGTAGGGCTAGAAGGGACATCAAAAGATTATCTAGTCCAGCTCCCTGTGCTGAGCCAAGAACAAGTACACCTAGATTGTCCCCTGACAGGAGTTTTTCCCACCTGTTCTTAAAAACCTCCAATGATGGGGATTCCCCAAATGGAAGTCTATTCCAGAGCTTAGCTATCCTTGTAGTTAGAAAGTTTTCCTAATATCTAACTGCCTTGCTTCAGATTAAGTGTCTCTATTCTTGTCCTACCTTCAGTGGACATGGAGAACAATTGATCACCATCCTCTTTATAACAGCCCTTAATATATCTGAAGACTTATCAAGTCCCCTGTCCCCCTCACTAATCTTTTCTCAAGAGTAAACATGCCAAGTTTTTTTTTTTTTACCTTCCCTCATAGGTCAGCTTTATTAAACCTTTTATCATTTTTGTTTTTCCTCTGGACTCTCTCCAGTTTGCCCATCTCTTTCATAAAGTGTGGCAGCCAGAACTAGATACCCTACTCCAAATAAGACCTCACCAGTGCTGAGTAGAGCAGGACAATTACCTCCCATGTATTACATACAATGCTTCTGTTAATGTACCCCAAAGTTATATTAGCCTTTTTCACACCTGCATCGCATTGTTGACTTGCATTGAATTTGTGACCCACTATAACGCCCAGATCCTTTTCAGCAGTACTATCACCTAGCTAGTTATTCCACATTTTGTAGTTGTGCATTTGATTTTTCCTTCCTAAGTGAAGTACTTTGCACTTGACTTTACTGAATTTCACCTTATTAAATTCAGACCAATTCTCTAATTTGTGAAGGTCATTTCAATTCCAATTCTGTCCACCTAAGAGCTTGCAACCACTCCCAGCTTGGTGTCACCTTCAAATTTATAAGCATACTCTCCTCTACATTATCCAAGTAATGAATAAAAATATTGAATAGGACCGGGCAGGACTGACCCTTGTGGACCCCATTCGA